AAAAAAACACAACACAGCCTCAGCCTGATGTGAGAAGAAAAAAGAAGAAACGGAAAAAGAAAACCAAGGATGTAGTGAAACAGCAGTCTGATGAGGTAAGTAAATCTTTAGGTTAAAGGGCGGTGGTTAATTGTCACATCCCATGCGACGTATATGATACATGCAAAGTACATTGTGTCTAACAGAATTTGAACGCAGGCTGCACTATGACCACAACCCTTTATTAAACTTGTATTTGCTATACTGCAAAATTAGATATATATTTGTAAAATTAGATATATATTTGTAAAAATTAGATATATATTTGTAAAATTAGTTATATATTTGTAAAATTAGATTATGAGGGCATATACTACCAAAAATAACACATCATGAAGTGTGAATATAGAAGGTGAACAAAGATCCATCTGAAATGAAGAAATGCTGTCATAGTTGGTATTGTCATCAATAGTGTGTGTAATTCATTGCTCTTCTTTCTGACATGCTCCCTCCCTGTGGAACTCAATATAGACACTCAATTGGATAATTCAAGTTGTATGAATCTTTGCAGACTCCACTTCGGGAAGATGAAATTGATGCCGGAATTAGAGAAGTCAATGCGATTCTAGGTGAAATTGGTACAATTGGACAAAATACAACCGAAGCAGTACATGTTGCCATGGAAACAAAAGCATTACTTGCCATAGAGCGTAAACAGTTAAATCCTGACAACGAAATGAGAAGGATTTTTGGTTCTCAGATTATCAAATCAGATGCAAGGTGATGTTAGTTTGTTAGTATTAATTGTCTTGTACACGAAAATCTCTATTTGGCCTGAATTCACACCTAAAATATAATGTGAAGTTTTAAAAATGGTGATCTAGACTTGTAAGTAATAGAAGCTTATATCCATTTATAGTCCAAACCAACAAAGAAAATGTATAAAATAACAACATTTTTAACCTAAATTTTGGTTGGTTGAGTGTATGATGTCCACTATTTAAACCTCAAACTATCAACTTATTTTTCTTTCAACAGGAGAAAGTCACATAGAAACAAACATGTAAGAACTACATGGCTAGCTACACCCAAATCAACCTGGCCTCATTTGAGTAAATCAGGTATGTATGGATCAATATATTGTATTATAAGGCACTCAGCATCACAAACATTATAATTTGGAATTCTGTAAAAAGCTGTATTGGCACAATTTTCTTCATTTGGGGTAAACTACATTTACATCACATTTTTACATTTGAATCATTAAGTACTGTTCTGATTTTGTGCATTCCTATTTTCGTGATAACATCATATTATTGTTACACTCATTATACAATACAATAACACTTTATTATCACCGATTATAAATTACAATCTTTTTGGGGGCTCTGAGTAATGAAGTTAAATTAATAAACATGAACACAAATTAATTATAATAAGTATCAAAAAAACAAAGAAAGTTACTAAATGCTTCTTTTCAAGTTTGCATTATCAATGTATTGGATTATTGGATTATATCAATTAGATTCAGCAAAAAGTTCTCATGTCTTGCTGTGTACTTTTTGGGACAGAAATGCACTATCAATGCATAACTTTTGAATTATTGTATCTCTGAAATGCATGTTGTTGTTATTTAAAATATGGCAAAATGTATGAATAATATTTAAAAATTATTGGTATTGGGGACAGCAGTACAGTACCCCCAAACAAAAACTTTGAGAATTCTAGATTAATACGAAGTCTTTTCATCTTTTCAGGGATGTCTATGAACCATATAGAGAGAAAGGGAGGGTGAGTTTTATACATATTAATATTAATATACACCTAGCTGAGAAATCCCTGGAAGTTAGCCTTCAATCTGTATAAACCTATATGAATGTGTTTACAGATGATATAGACATCTGCGGAAAATTTATGTCATGTTTACATAACATCAAAACACATGCCAACAATGTTTTCCATGAAGGACACAGGATCCAATCACTGAATACAAGCAAATACTCAGAGTGTAAGCAAGACAAGATGTATGCACTGCTCTCTGTGTTTGTGCTTTTATGCACATATTTACAGTAATAATATTGTTTTCAATTGCACTAGTTTTCTTATAAAAGTTATCAGTTACATGTTTAATTTGATGATGTGGATAGATCATAGAATGATCAACAATGATTTTTTTTCTTATTTCAGCTATGAATATTTCACTTTTGAGCATTCTAAAGAATACCAGCGTGTGCAATTTGAGTTTCTAGAAGCTGTTGAATCGTTAAATCCCAATAACATTGTGGTGAGTTGTGTTTGATTGTTTTGTATTATGATGAATTAGGTCATCCATATACAATACTTCATAGCTACATTTTGTAACTGACGTCTAACTTAACACATAACATGCTGAAAGTCTCCTCAGATAGCCAATATGAATGGGAAAAAAACGGTAGTATTAGGTGATGTGTTAAAAATTAACCCAAACCCTAACCCCTAACCCTAACCCAAACCCTAA